GTACTGCGTCCAGTTCGACAAATTGCACAAGGCACCAGGTGAATAAAAAGGGTGTAAGTTTTTCATCAATAACAATGCCCAACCACATACTTCTTTCATCATGAAAAAAAAGTTGCAGAGCTTTGGCTAAGAAATGATCCAGCACCCATCATATTCGCCGGACCTTGCACCGTCCGATTACCACTTGTTTCGCTTGCTGCAAAACAAGTCTTGATGGTCAATGGTTCGATTTAATGGAGGCCGTTCGAAATCATCTCGCTGATTTTTTTCGTCCAAGGATTTTACGAGAACAACATTAAAGCCCTAAGCGTTGGTAACATGTAGATCAAAACGGTCAATACATTATTGATTGAATAAATTGTTATAAATGTCGATTTTTTGTTTAAATTTTATACTAAAAACCCGTAAAACTGTCCAACCAATATTACTTTGTTCCACTTCCTTTCTTTTTAATCCCTTTCTAGTGGTGGATCAATGAGGGGGAGGGGAGGCATGGGAATCATGACTCCCCTCTTGGAGTTTCCTTTTTAAAAATTAAAATGTTACATATATTTTTAATATTTCTAAAATGCTTAATCACAATTTTGATATTCCAAAAATATTTTTTAATTTAAGAAACTCATAGATTCTTGCGGCTTAAGGCTTACCGCTCTATTGTAGATACCGTGTTATGCAGTGTAATGCGAAAATTACTAATTATAAGATTACTTAAAATATTACTGCCTGCCGAAAAAAAAACTGCTGAACAAAGTTTTTTAACTCTTTGGTATTTGACAGTTTGATTAAGAAATCGTATAAATGAAAAGAAACTTTTGGAGTTTGCGTTGTTACATACAAAACAGAAATTGTTAAAGAAGCAGTGTTGAATAGGTTTACCAGAAATACAAAATATATATTAGATATATTATTGTAAAGCCAGAATCAGACTACGCATTGAAGATTGAGATTGAAAATTGAAAATTGAAATTTGACCGATGAAGACAAAGGAATTTTAGCTCCTATTGTTTTGATTGGTCAAATTTCAATCTTTCAATCTTCAATCTCAATCTTCAATACGTAGTCTGATTCCGATCTAAAATTTTATGCATATATATATTTTTTTGTTGATATTATAATTTTAAATAAAATGTTTCATGAATTAAATAATATTTACATACTTTTTCAATGTAATGTTAATGATAATTCAAACAATCTATCTTTCCATATTTGACTTTAAAAAAAATTTCGCTTGCAGCGCGCAAATTTAATAATAACTAATAATGACGAAAAGATACAAAAATGATGTAAAGTAATTAAATTTTCCTATTTCTTTGTTATTCATTCGTTACAATTGGCGCATGATATTTCAGAAACCCGCTAATCCAAAACTCAACCCTAAAATAAATTCGCCAGTAGCATCTCCTTCCCCTTGACAAATGTCTGGATCCGCCAATACTTTTTGCCGATATAATTTTAAATAAAACATTTCCTGGATTATATAATTATATAATATTTTTTCAATGTAATATGCCAATAGTAATTCAAATATTCTATATTTTATATTTGACCTTGAAAAAATTTCGTTTGCAGCACATCAATAGCTCCGCCTTGACTTCTGGATCCTCTGTCCCTTTCAAATTTCTAATCTGTTCGGACAGATCATAGTACGACTTACAATTAGTCCGTCCAATTGAACTTGCCTTAATTATTTCACTGTAATGGATTTCACTTCAGTACAGAATGCAACGCGCACGATAACATGATCATGCGATATACGATACAAAACAACATAGTATTCACTCAACTCGCGCCGATTTGAACAATAATAAAACTGCTAGGATACTCTTAACCAGAATTCTGGTAATGTTGCATATGTCTAATAAATATAATCAGAAATATTATAAATCCAACTGAAAAATATTGAACAAATCCTTATAGTATAAGCTATCGAATGTTTTAGTTATGAAATCTTGCGTCCTATTTATAATAACCAAAAATTCTGCTAGATTTAACTAAAATACATTTAACCATATACGTTTTGTTGATACAATCAAATCATTTTTCTCAGTGTGAAATATACGTATGTTCATTCCGATAATGTTCGAAATATTATTTTAAACGAATCCTGCATGTTGTCGGATTAAACGAACTTTGCACCACTTTGACTATTACGCGACCTGACCTTAATTCATTTAAGCTTATCCGAATTCATTCGCTCGGATGTGGGCGCACGGTTTCAGAGATTTCAACTCAAGCTCCTTATAATTACTAGTCTTTGGAAGTTTAAGCAGTTTCCTACCAACGTACAGTCAAACCACCTGACGAACGGGTTCACTGAGTGACGAAGAACGGAGGTGAAGGTACGAGTTGAGAGAATGAAATGTTTATCGCAGTCATTCCGTTCGGCAATATAATTAACTTCCGGATAGTCCTACGTACCTTGTTTCCGTGATTACTTCACTATGCAGTTCAATATTTACTCTCTCGAAAACTTCACTCACGTTTATAACATAAAGCAAAACTTATTTTGATATAATCGTAGGATATCTACTTATATTTTTTTAAATTTTACAGTTTAAATTTTTTAAAATTTTATAATTTACAAAATATGCTTGATTAAAATTTTGAATTCATAGAATTAACACGATTTGGTATTTAAGTCAAATATATCCAATAACAATAATCTACGGAAAAAATAATATTAAAACATCAAAAAATTTAGCTAAATACAAAGCGCTAAAATAGTTTTGTTGAACTATCAAAATAATTATGTAGGACGCTCAAGTTGATTGCTAAAATATCAAAATTTTTTTGTAGCACTACTCATTATGCTTGAGTTACATAATTATTTTAATGATCCAACAAAATTATTTTCAAATCTATATTTAATTAAATTTTTAGATATTCCAGCAAAATCGTTCCTTCCGTGCATTTTTGTGATTATTATATCATCCATTCGTATATTAGGCATTATTATTTCAACAAGTATCAACTCTTTAATATTTCTCATTAAACATATAAAATTGAATGGATTATTTCGTAAAAAAAGTAGTATACAAAAATTTTCAGAATACGTTTTAAAATGTCAAAGAAAGAAAATAATAAGACAATGAATTTGTTAATTATTTTCTTTCTTCAAAATTGAGACATTTGTTTAACCAAGACATAAATTAACTTGCCATTTACTTGAAAGGAAAGAATCGTTATTAAAAAAAACCCTTTCATTAATATTAATTCTTAATATCTTTGGGTCATTCGTGTCCTGTGCATTTTTTTTTCTTTGAAATACTAAGAGCACTTGATCAAATACCCATCTCTTTCCTAAAAAAGCCTGGCATTTAAAGGACAAGTTTTGTGCGTTGCCATTTTCAATTCGTGTGTATCCTATAATTGGCATAACTCCAAAGTTTACCTCTGGTTCACAAATGACCCAACATACACATGTAAAAAGTGTTCATTTTTTGTAACTAAAAAATTTTATTTTTTTCTTTATTTTCAACTAATCGATTGTATTGCAAGAATATTTCGCGAATTATTAAAAAAGAATTTAACCCTAGAACAACATATTAGCCCTTAATAAACATGATTTTTAGCTTTGTGCTAAATGTTGTCAGTAATATTATATATTATGTTGTCTATAATGTATAAAGAACATTTTCCAATTATAATTATATTTTTTTAATAAAATAGTAATAAAAAAATTTTGATATTTGTTTAAGATGCAATATATCTTTAATTTACAGTCATTCATGCATATTAAAAACACATTACTTTTATTAGGTGTACAAATAAGTTTCCGCCGTTTGACAAAAGACGGCGTCACTAGCAAGCTATGGTTAAAATTATCTGATGTAAAACATTATATCGTAAGGTTGAACATCTGTCAACAACATAACCTTGAAATACTAGCGATTTTGTATCAGCATCATATATCTTTTTTTGTGCGAAAATGCCGAGTTTTGAGCCGAATAAGCGTCATTTGCGGGAACTTTTGATTTACTTCTTTAATTTGAAGAAATTTGCAGCTGAGGCTCATCGATTGCTTGTAGAAGCATATATATGAGGCTGCCTTAAGTGAGAGAAGTTGTCGTGAATGGTTTCAAAAATTTAAGAACGGTGAATTTGACGTCGAAGATAAAGAACGTAGCGGAAGGCCGAAAGTGTACGAAGACGCGGAATTGGAAGTATTATTGAATGAAGATTCGTGCCAAACGCAAAAAGAACTTGCACTTACATTTTGACTTACTTCAATAAAACATTATGTATCTATATATGTTCTTTCATAAATGCTTAATTTTTGATAAAAAAACGGCGGAAACTTATTTGTACACCTAATAGGTACTCAATAACTAAATTTTTTGAACAGTCGACACTTGAACTATCTTTTCTTTTTGTAGTTTGGAATGTCAATTTTATTTTTTTTTAATATTTTTGTTTCAGAGTTTTACATTTTTGTATAAAACAGTGCATTTTTTCACTTTGTTAACTGTATTTAGTTATAATAATTTATCTACAATTTGTTATGAATACACAATTATACAAATATTTTCTAAAGATATGAAAATATATGTAAAAATTGTTTAATTATTTTTATATACCTGTAAAAGTGATGAAAATTAATCCAGAATACGAATGACCGAATGTGTGTAGTAAGGGTACCCAAAACTAAAGTGTGTACTAAGGGTTGGCGCTCATAGTCTATCGTTGAGTTTATTACCTGGGCATCAGACATGCAAAGTCAGAAATTGCCTATTCGTAAGGTTGAGTCGGGGACAATTACATTGCGCTGCTGTAATCCTCATTTGCATGCATATGTTTTGGAGAAAAGCTGCGTCATCAACATAGAAATTATCATCATGTCATCAAAGATTTGCAGATTCGTAATTTTAATTAAGTAATATATCATAGTGTCCGCGTTTTGTCGTGCAACTACATTTTTCTACTTGGCATTAACGTGACGATAATGCACGCGCGCGCTTTCCATTATTTCGTTTCATCAAAAATTTAAAAGCAAAACTCACCTTCTGGTAATTGAGAGCGAGCAATAGGTACTTCCTATCGGCAGATAAATGGTGATCAAAACTCGACAGTAAATCCTGAAAGAACAAAATACCAAATCATTTATAAAATAAAAGTAATCAGGTTGGAATACAATTTCATAGTTCGATTCAATAAAGTGTAAAATGTGTAACGAATGAAAATATCAAAAACACAATATACAAAGAAATGGGATTCACAAAAATAATATTAATTCACAATTTAACAGAATTAATGAATTCAATACATTTAATCCGCAAATTATGCAATCTGTTCAAAACTTCTGTCTCGCAAAAACGTTTATAGGCAACTTATATTCGATTTAATTAAACTTACTTATATTTGATTTAATTTTAAAAAAACGTTAAAAATATGTAGCATTCGCCTCTAGAGAGTTAACGTTAAGAGTCTTAACGTTAAATTCATATCGTGTAAATCGATCGCAGCCTCGTCGAAGCAATTAAGAATTAAAGTAAACATGATTGTTATTTATTAAAAATATGATACAGGAGTATAACTGTTATCTTTACAAACCAACGTTGCGCGATAAAAAAACAAATAATTAGTTAGTTCCAGTAATAAGGAGAACAACGTAAAAGTAGAAAATTTCTCGTTCTTGCGTGTCAGGCAGTAATCAGTGTCAAAGAACGTGAGGTCGCGCTTGCCCGACGCGGTGCAAATCGCAGACAGAGCTTATCGCTTATTACGCTTATAAAACGAGTCGTTAGCGAAATGAACACGGAATAGACTGCAAATGCGAGATGACGACCGCGTCAAAAGTGGCTTTGTGCTGCCGCGACGACCCGGAACGGTTTGTCGAAATCATGGCGAGTAAATTACGATCACGTGATACGGACCACCGAGATTGTTGAATGAGCTACGACGACCCGACTAATGGAATGACCATCGTTGAGCGAAGTCGCGCATTCGAACGAGACAATCGTTTCGAGTTGCTCGGCGGATGATCGAACTGGCGATCATTCCACTTAGCCGTCGCAATCATAATACGATAACTAGCGGCCGACAACTACCATTATTACTTTAATATGGCAAGTTTATTCGCGTGATAAACGAGACTAGCGGATTGCGTCTTTATGCATTGTTGCTCGGATACATTAACATATATGTATATACATTGAAATTCAAGCTTTAAGCGTTCTCTACAGTTTTTCTATTCAAAAGCTTGTTCATGTGACGATTAAGGGGATGCTGGAGCGGCAGCCGAACTTGATCGAGGTAGATAGTAGATTTTTTAAATTCCAAATTCGATAATAGTGACATCTTTCATTCATTTCTTATATTATTACAAACCGTTGTGTCTCACTCAAATGCATTTATCTGTCCTTATCTAATTGCAACGCCATCTCTTGATCGAACACCTACTAGACACAATTATTACTTTGTTTACCGTTTCGAAGTCTTCGCTCAGCAAAGACTGTTGTATGCAATATTGTCGTGTGTGCAATACGCTGCGTGCAATATTGTTGTGTGTGCAATATTGTTGTATGCAAACGAAGCTATAGGCAATCGTTTTTGTAAGCATACGAAACCCTCCTCATTTACAAATCGATATAAATCTTTTTTTTAAGCTTTTAATCTTACAATTAGTTTCATAAACTCAGTATTGTTTGCGCGCAATACGTTTTATGCTACACTGTCGTTTGATCCATACGAATTATAAAATTTCGTATTAAGGAAACATCTACGATAAGCCATGATCAGACTATGCATTGAAAATTGAGACTGAGATTAAGATTGAAATTAAGATTGAAGCTCGACCAATAAGAACAGAACAGGCCGAGATTGCAAATTGAAATATAGGGCTCCGTCTATTTTTCCAATCTTCAATCTCAATCTCAACCAATAAGCTGCCAGTATTTCAGTCACGTAGTAACTAACCTCATCAAATATATTGTATATATACAAATAATAAGTTATGAAGGGTTATAAAAAGTACAAACACAGCACAATTAAAACGTATAAGTGCAATTAAATGCATATTCAATAATTGTTATTATGTGTGGTTCTAGCTATCCCGATATTCTTCCTAATCTCTACCTTATCTGTTATTAGATATAATTCATAGTGTAATTGAGCAATCTTCAATCTTAATCTCAATCTTAATCTCAATTGTGGGATTGAACCAACTTACTTGGGAAATTCAATCCTGATTATGCCCATGGTCTTCGGATGAACGCAACTGTGTAGTCGTGCACCTTCGCAACAGAATTTAAAAAAACCGCCAAAATCAAAAGACTGATCCGCACACCGCGCGCGACATTATTCGCGTATCGTTCTGCCTCGCACGCTCACCAGCGCTCTCGAACGCCGCCAGCGCGTCGCCATGTCATACGTATTCCAAGTATTTGAGGCAAATCGCCACCTCTAGGGAAGGAATAGATAAAGGGTGGGTAGTCCATCCGGATGAGACCACGAGCATAATCAGTATTGAACTTCTCAGGTAAGTTCGTTCAATCCCACAATTATGCCTTATGTTGTCTCGTCCGGATGGACACAACTGTGTAGATGTTCAAAGATGCGATTTGCTGGAAACTGAAATATAAACTTGTTTAATTACGAAGCTTCCCTTATCTCTTTCTTCGACATTATACAAGGTCCCATTTTAATCGATCACCTCAAATATCTCTTGAACAATGCATTTTAACGAAAAATATTTCCGACAAAAGTTTTGGGACTTTGAGGGGACATAAGATGGTGCCATTAGTTTGACTTTGGGTGGCATCGTCAAGGTCAGAGCAAGGTCACTTTGAATTTTTTAAGCGGAACTCCCCATTTTGTATTACGTATTCTTGTAACTTATGTCAGAATCTCTCATTTTGTATTACGTATTCTTGTAGCTTATTTCGAGAGCTTCCCAAAACACTATAATTAAGCTCATTTTCATTAAATACTTTTCGAGTTATAAGGGTTGCAAGTTACAGCACCGCCGGCATTAGCATTAGCGCAAGATACCCGACCGACAATTAAAACCTCTTAAATGTTGTTCAGAATCATGTTCTGAGTAACATTTGTCAAGTTCAAAGTCGTTGGAGATTGTACTTCTTATTTTTATTTTTATGTAGAAATGAATTTTTAGTGCAAAAATAAAAATAAGAGGAACAATCTGCATGACTTTGATCTTGACAAATGTTATCCAGGTCATGATCCTGAACAAGATTCAAGAGATTTTATCCGTCGATCGGGCATCTTGCGTAATGCTAATTCCGGCGGTGCTGTAACTTGCAAGCCTTATAACTCGAAAGCTCTCGAAATAAGCTACAAGAATACGTAATACAAAATGGGAGATTCTGTTTAAAAAATTCAAAGTAATCCTATTCTGACCTTGACGACGCTACCCAAGATCAAACCAATGACACCATCTTATGTGCAATGATGATCTTATGTGCACCTTCAAAGTCCCAAAACTTTTGTCAGAAATATTTTTCCTTAAAATGCACTGTTCAAGAGATATTTGAAATGATTGATTAAAATATAAATTTCTTTAATTGTAGACTCTGATAAAGAAGCAAGAAGGGCTGGGATAGCTGCCTGAAGTACTAGGCGTTCTTTAAATGCTTCCATGATAACTTCGCGATCCCCAGAAAAAGCGATCTCCATGCGGATGTTGATTCCTGAAAGGAGAAGATAAAAGTGAATGGTTAGGAAGGAGAAATAATGACTCTGATGCCAATAGATGATAGAATAATGGAAACCAGACATGGGAAGGTCCAGGGCACTACCACTGTGCTCGTTGCTTTGTCTTCCATTATTTTCCTCAGAACCCGTGATAATAAAATGAAAGGAGGAAAGGCATAAAAATTTAAAGCCTTCCAGGAAAAAGTGAAAACGTCTACTGCTATCGCGCGAGGGTCAGGAAACTACGATACATAGGATTTGCATTTATTATTATTTAAAGAGACAAATAAATCTACCTTAAAGGGTCCAAAGGTTTCGTGGAAAGCTTTGAGAAAGTGATCATTCTGTGTCAGGGTCTGCTATTTTGGATTCTGCATCTGCAATTACATTTTGCATAGATGGAATGTAAGAGACGAATATAAAAATATTACAAGCCTCACACCAACGCCAGATTTACGCTGAGATAGGTGAGGGAATTGTATGGAGCGAATTTGTTAATGTAAACTAAAACCGTCATATTATCAACACGAAGTAAGATGTCACAATCTCAAAGATCTGCAGTAAAGCAACGGAGGACATTGAAGACTGCTTTAAATCCTAAAGCGTTTATTTGAAGGAATCTTTCGGAAGTCATCACCAATCATAGGTGCGTGATTCTGCCCCCCAACCGTTCAAAAAAGCGTCTATAAAGATTTCCTTAACAAACTTTCCTGAACGAATCCTATTGCATTAGTAAGAATTTAAAAAAATTTTAATCCATCATTTAAAATTTTGAGGGGATCGTCATAATTGTTGAATAATCATCGTTATTTTTAGATAGAGTTAAAAATTTTTCTCTCTCAAAGATTTAGTATAGAGAAGGCCATATTGAACTGCTAGGCATATCAAGACGAATAAACCGATAAAACTGGCAAAAGTTTTTATAGAGCAGCTTTCTTTCATAGCTATTTTAGATGTTAAGCGTAACAATTTCTCTCATCATTGTAGAGGAATTGAAATAGATTGTTCTACTTTCAAATAAGAAACCTAAATATTTACATTTAGTGAAGGGTTCCAAATAAGACTTCGAATAATTGACGAGGAAACCAAGAGATTGCAAAAGGCCTATAGTAGCGGCGAGATTCGCACGGCACTCGTTGACAGAAAACCCCAGGAGAAGGAAATCATCTAAATATATAACCGATTGGTACCCTCTGTTGCGCAGATATATTGGGTCATCTAAAAAGTATCCGCGGTTTTTTGTCACTAGATGGTGTTGATCATATATCGGGCAACACTAATCCGATTGTGTCAAACGAACGTACGTCTGAAAGATGACATTTTAGGTTACATTTTTTGTAAACAAAGTTTGGTGATTCATCAATCGTGTCAAAAGTTATATTGGTTTGAAAATGAGTGAAATATCTGAAAAAATACGCTATAT